ACCTAGACACAGGAGAACTATTGTCGTGAAAGTGTTGTACAGTCGATTACGAATTTAGATTGCAGAGAGTTTGTTCTGAGCGCTAAAAGCACTCACGATAGAGCACATTTTGCTTTATTCTAACACGTACACGGAGTTCGCTCACCGGAAGAATGACCAAGTCGCCCTCAGCGTTGTCCATAGCCATAGACAGAACCGAGACCATTTCTTTTGTGAAACACTTTTCAATAGACCCACCCTCAGAGGTGTCGCCATCCCATTCATAGTTGATTGTAGCGCAGAGAAACTGGGCGTTCGAGCGAGGAAGCCCAGTCAAATTCATCTGTGTCACTTCGCGGGCTTTCATTTCTTCAGAGAGGTACTTGGTCCGAATAGCAGCCTTCTTCTGTGAGGCGGCAGCATAAGTGAGTTGCTGCTTCACGGACAGAGGAGCTGAAGGTCGAGGAGGGTTGGGAGTCTCAGTCTTTGACAAGTGGGAGTCAACTAGCACCGTTGCAGAGGGATCATTGGCCCGCTGGGCTGGGGCAGGTGAATTGCCGACAACCACTTCCGTAGGAGGGTGATCTGAATGAGATGGTGCCGAAAAGTCGGGAGCCGACTCAACGGACTCCGACCCATCATTGTCAGACCAATAAGCAAACTCGCCGTTGACTGGTTTATTGGTGGGGCTGATTACCGATGGACCTGTTGTGTCCTTCATCACTGCATCCTCCTTATCAGGGGCCATAGAGTCGCGAACTGGTTTTGGGGTGGCCTCCGGAAGAAACCCGCGTGCAGGAGAACGAGGGTCAATCGGAGCCGGTTTCCTTGCAGTTGATGGGTCCCGATCGCGCTCACGTTTTCTGCCCTTGGCGGCTGAGCGACGCTCAGATAATTCCGTTACCACCGTCGTCGTTTTGGGGTCGGTCCACGGGTGCCCTAGAAGTTCAACCGCAATGGCCCATACTTTGGCCAGAGGGCGTAATTCCAATAGTAAACGGGGCTCAACCTCCGAGGTAAAATCCCAATACCGATTAAAAAACGTAGTGTCCTCCAACTGTTCGTCCAAAGGAAAAATCACCAAAGGATCCTGGACCGCCAGACCGAGAATTAATCCTCGTACATATACCACTAGCTCACGATCGTTCCCAGTAAATTTGTCCTTGATGTCTCGGTCAAGCGCAGCTCGAATGCGATGCTCGACCAAGTTCCAGTCTCCATCACAAATCTGTAGTAGCTTGTCGGCTGCTTCCTCCCAGGATTCAGTCGCCGGAGGGTCGACGAAATTTTCAGAATACCCTTTGCACCAAGGCCAGTGGAAATCGGGCTCGTTCTCCCATGCCGAGAACAGCTCGTTTCCAAAGACCACTTCTTTTTTATTGTTGCGTTGACCACAGGCACGGTAGATTGTGCATAAATAGGCAAGGCTTTGAAGGTTCCACTGAGACGAATCGATGTTCTGGACAATGCGATCGTACTTCAGTGGAGACTCAACCTCCTCCATCTCGGTGTCGCTGTTGTTGTTGACGATTGAAGGGTCCAAATCGTCGGATTCCTTTTTCGATCGAATTTTGGCGGTTTTGGCTCGGCTTTTTTGCGAAAAACTGATGCGACCCTGAGTAAGAGCAGTAGAATTAATAGGTTTAGCAGCGATTGCCACTTTCTTGTTGTTCTTCAACTTTCCCATTGTCAGTTTTGATGCAAAAAGGAGGAGCAAGTTTTGTTTCGCTACAGAAAAATCGTGTAGGCAAAGTACCGAAAGTGATGTTTGGAGGACCCGGAGATGTATGTTGTTTTTGTATTTTTGTTTTTTCGGAATATAACAAAGGTTGAATGGAGGATGACCTATTCACCTAGATCCACAATAACAATGAAGACAGCGACAACAATCATAGTGACAATCCATGATAGTGCTCACAGAGGCAACAACTTGGTGTAAAGGAGATGACGACAAGACAGCTGCGGATGGTGGAGGGAACTCAGCATATCCTTACAACAGGCATGCATGAGGACAAATGAAGTCCCAGTCTGACAATACCGTCTGACAAGACCAACTTTTGACCATTCCCAGAAAGCCGGCTCCCAAAATGGTGGAGGACATGGCTTGAATTGAAAATCTAGTGGCAGTATCACCAGTCGTAGTCAAACCCTAGCCCTCCTTTTCTTCATGACAGTAGCGCAGCAGCATCCATACCTGTAGACGGTCCAGTCATCTTCATTACTTCAATGCACCAAATCTCCAACCTGTTAAAGCGAGGACTTGGCACGACACAATGAAGCTTTTATGCTACATACTGTTTGTCACTCTGCGCAACGAAAGTTGAGGAACAGATACGTAAAAAGCTCAGTATGCAGAAGTGGATGAAGGAACCTGTCTCTGAGGAATTGGAAGTGCCACTAGCGAGTACTGATGAAAGGAGAAGGAAGATTCAGTTTGTTCACAGGTCGGGTTGGAACAACACAATCAAAAGGACAGCAACAGTGCGTTCTGGTGGTGATGTTTTTTATGTTGTGATGTGTGATGTGTGTATTTTGTCTTTGCTGTTTCTGCGAGCAGTATTTCTGCGAGCAAGCCGGGTGTAGTCGTTGTGTTGGAGGTGGAGGTCAGACTGACCGTGCCGGTGTCTTTTGGTAAATATAATGTGCTTGTTTTGGCTCACTACCCCTGCAGAAAGAGTGCGAAAATCGTTCTGTCGCGTATGCATGCCCAGATTCACAACAAATTGCGGCATATCCCTGGTGGATGTAGGTCTCCAACCCTGACCAAACCACGTACTCCGTTGAAAACCTTGTGATTACACTGTTTGTCCGAGTTTGAACAAAGTCCTTGCCCCATTTGCAATCTGTCACGCTTTAGAGCGTTTCCAGCTTGAGAGGAGTGTTTTAAAACGTCAGGCAGACAGACAAGATAATGGTTGGATCGCTGATTTGAGCGTTGGATTTCCAACCTGAATGATTTGTCACATCACAATTCATATTTTCAGACAACAAGGTTTTACGACTAAAATGAAAAATTGGCACAGCTTCGGCCAGTCATCATTATTGCCAACAATATTCCAGGATAATCTAGTAGATAATCATGAGAATATATATTCAAAGCTGTATTGGTAAATTCGTCTTTTATCCTAGTCATCTCATTGCCTCAAGTTGAATTTTGGGGGACTGTTTGACCCCCGATCGGTTAATGTATTCAACAGATATGATTTGTGTCTAATTCTGGGGGGTGATCCCTGCCTGAACAGGGATCACTGACCTGTTAGATATTATATGCGGTATAATATTTGACTGAGGTTTTTGAGATTCCAGATTCCTTGGTGAAAGTGAATTGACGCGATGACCAACCAATAAAACGTAGTGAAAAGAATTGTTCATTCTTTTCAGTAAACCATCTAGATTGATTGTTGTTGCAACTTTGATTGAGTGCAGAATAGTTGATACTATAGTTATGGAACTGAAGTAGATAGTCATCAGTGCATGTAGACCTGATTGGTCACATGGACAATGCAGAGTTAATGACTCGCATCTGAATGATTATTTTGAAGATAGTCGTCCTATTTTCTATTTCTAACATTTACTGAAAAGAAAACCGTTTGCACAAGTACGACAACTTGTGCATGCGTCAGTGCAAGAACGATATCTTGCACATGAAGTAGTGACAGCCATCACTGCTTCCTCCAAGCATTGTTTCGATGTCAGGGGGTTATCTTCAGTTCTTTGAAGGAGATTGGATTTTGTATTGCCGAAAGTATTGAACGAAGGCTCACTCTGAAGGTTCAAAATCAAGGAGCGAACTTGGTGTTCATTGCTCTCGGAAATACAGCTATTCATTTTTAAAGTGTCGTCTCAAGCAAGGCGTCAACAAGACCATTTTCGGAAGGACACATATCATCCAGTGAAGTGATGATGATGCGGCTGATGGATGTTGAGCCACTTGGACGAAGGAGCGTGTTAGATATTATATGCGGTATAATATTTGACTGAGGTTTTTGAGATTCCAGATTCCTTGGTGAAAGTGAATTGACGCGATGACCAACCAATAAAACGTAGTGAAAAGAATTGTTCATTCTTTTCAGTAAACCATCTAGATTGATTGTTGTTGCAACTTTGATTGAGTGCAGAATAGTTGATACTATAGTTATGGAACTGAAGTAGATAGTCATCAGTGCATGTAGACCTGATTGGTCACATGGACAATGCAGAGTTAATGACTCGCATCTGAATGATTATTTTGAAGATAGTCGTCTTATTTTTATTTCTAACACTGACCCAGGAAATGTGAAAGAGGAGTTGAAATGTCCTGAGATAAAAAGGAACCCCTCAAGTAACTGCTCAAATTGAAATGTCCTATGAGATTCCCTGTAGCTGCTCAAATTACACATTCAATGCAACATAAAAACATAGGAGGCGTATATTGGAAAGACTAACGACAGAAACACATGGACAGTAGGGGTTGTCAATGAACCCAACCCAACTCTTTTTCTTTTTTTTGGGCAGCTGTGATTGGTCGAGCCAAAAAAAAAAATAGTTGGTTTGGGTCAGAAAGAAAAAAATAGTTGTGCCGAAAAGAGACCCAACTATATTATAGTTGGGTCTTCAATGACCCGGAGATAATTGATTCGCGGGATAAAAGATTTACAATTCTTGTCCAATGTTTTAGATTTATCGTGTGGAACAGTTCAATTTTGAGTAAACGTAGCCCAAACTTAAACAAAGAATAGTTGGGTCATGCTATTTTTCGACGAAAAATAAGTAGGCAAATATATCTACGAGATATCGTACGTCTCCCTAAACTACCGGCTTTTTCCCAAAAATAGTTGGTTCGTGGCTTCAAAGGGGGTGGTCAAATATCGGGAAAAATACTGCCCTTCTATTGGTCAATAAAAATAAACCAAAAATAGTTGGGTTGGGTTCATTGACAACCCCTAGTCTACTTTCTAGGCCGAAAGCCATTTCTTCTTCCAATTGTGACCTAGCTCCCAGCCCTGTAATCTTGTTGAAATACTGTTGTAAAGCTTGAGAAACTACGCGTTCTTCAATTTTTTGCTCTGATAAGGATGGGTGGCGTGTATCCACAGGCTGACTCCAGCTAGAACGCCTCCTGCTACTTGCTCCCGTGACACTCCATGGCTTTGATCAAGCATAGCTTGCACAACTCCACTCAAAAAAATCCCAAAAATAAGAGCAAACCCCTTGCGAACGGATCCAGCATACTTTGTCACTAAACCAACAATGATCCCCCCAATGGCATTAGTTGTAATCGGAATCCAAAGTTGGGGAACCCAACCTGCCCAAAAGCCATCTTCCGTAACTCTTTTGCCATCATTGCTGAAAACAAGGCTTGAGCCCAATATCAGTATGGATGCAGAGCAAAGCTCCATACTAAAAAGGTAAGGATTTCTCCCACCACCGCTGGACTGCAAATTCCTCTGTGACAGTGCTCCCGATAGGCCGCTGATGAAGGATGCCAGGAGAATCGGGGCAACGCCATTAGACCAATGAGTGGAATTCCAGTCAACTTGTGACGTCGATACATTGGACGATCGGAACATCAATGATTCAAGTGGCACCAATCCTTCCATTGTCAGTGCAGAAAGCAGTAAGAGAATCAAGCTAAAAATTTGCATGAAACTTTGCCGTTTTCCCATAACCAAGTAGCAACACATGGCGGCTGAAAGTGTTTTGGTTTCTAAAACGGAAAGCAGGATTCAGTAGCACACGATTGAGAGCGAAAAATTGTCTTCAACAATATAATTGACCCAAGAACTTACGATTCAAGACATTAAAAGTGAGCGAGTCCAAATGTTGGTAGGCTTGCAGTGCTGCCATATTCTGTAACGCATACAACGCAGCCGGTAAGAATGCAACGCGAATCCATTGATTTGGCGTCCAGCCTGCAACGGAATGTATTATTGAATGAATCGCTTTTGTTAGCTCATAGACCAGATCGCATCCTAAGGCATCGTATCGTTAACATGAAACGTACCCACAACTGCTGATTGTTTTGCACCACTGATTCTCAGCATGATATACGCAAAGCAGAACTTCAAACCTTCTTGCACCAGTACTACAGTTGACCGACAAACACCATCCGGAGTAAATGTTTTCGTGAGTGTCGGTTGCAGCCCGAACTGCACACTGAGCAAGCACATGCATATCAGTGATTTTCGATCGATCATCGTGTCAACGAGCAATCGATCGCCGAGATTGATTCAAGTCAAAATTAGTGGGGTTGCTTCGAGAGGAAAACTTTTTGGTACTGCATTCTGGAGCGGCCTGGAACACCAGGAGGAAAAGAGGACAGAAGCCTGCTCGGCAGATCGATGACTTTAGAATTCCTTGTGGTTCCTTCTCGCGAGATGTCTAATAAACGAAGAAGACATTTCTCATATATAAGAACATCTTGTCGTTCATAAATAGTTTAGAACCAAAAGGGAAATTTTTTAAATTTTTAGTCAGTAATAATTCCTTTAGAGGCACACCTGTGACATAATGATGGAAAAACTGCTTTTAGGTCGCGACACATTACTTTTATTATAAAATTACTCGTTCCGAATAAAAATTACTCGTTCCAAATAAAAATTACTTGTTCCGAAAAAAAATTACTCGCTTTGCAATGTGAGTTATTTCTCGTTTTGGTGGCTTCTCCTCGTTTTGGTGGCTTCTCATCGTTTCTGGAAGTCCCACAAAAATATCCCCCGCACTGCTCAGTCCTACCCCCCATGATCTTCATCAGCGATGTTTTATCGCCAATCAAGTCTTGGCTTGAGATGTGATCACCGTAGAGCAATACCGGAAAGGGTTGGAGAGGAGATTGTGAGTGTCAACAATAATGCTCA